GACGCGTAGCGGAGTATTTTTGACGAACTTCGAGGTGTTTGGAAATGTGGTCAAACACTGTCTTGAGTGTGTGACCCTATCTTGATTTGTAACTTTTGAATTTCTCTTTCTCAATTACCAAATTGGTTTGTTAGTCGTCTTTGTTGCCTGCAATCGTTAGGGTCGAAACAGCAATCTACACTCGAGCTCACTGCTCAGGATCACTAACCTAGGTACTTCTAGTGAATGCCGCGTTTATAAGCCATATAAAAAATCAAACGTTCGCGATTACATGTTAAACATTGAGGATGAAAGGGGTGATGTGAACTCAAAGGCAGAAAAGTATAGCAGGGAACCCAGCCAATACAATAATTGGGCATAGTTGAGGATCTACATATAGAGAAGGGAAATTCAAATGGAAGCCAAAACCAGTAGCGGATATAGGGGAGGGTCCCCCTTATTTTGGGTAAAAAAAGAGACAATTACAGAAGGAAGAAAAGCCGGCAGGGTAAGCAGAACAAAACCGGGCCCACCGCTTAGTTCAAGGTCTGGATCTGCCACTGAAAACCTTAAATTTCTTCGACGAAACACCTTGAATTAAAAAATGAGGAACTTTTTTAACCATCTTTAATCTTTCCATTCCATCAGAACGATATAGAGATGACCTCAACAAGATGAGAAGTGAAATTAAAAATATCAGTGACAAGCTGGACGCTTTGACAGTATCGAGAAAAGAAACAAAGGATGAAGGTTAGTTCCCAGAACTGATTAACAAAGCTCAGCCGAAAACTCAGAAAGAGTTCTTTCTTTGAAGGTGTAGCCTAGGGAGACTAGCAGCGTTTTATTGTGTTCTTAATGTTTTTTTTTTTCGTTTGAAAATAATTGAGGATGTAAGTTCAAAGAAACGCGGTAGCTGGCATGTTTTGGAAGCGGAACAGCCAATTCAGTTGATGACCAGTACCAGTGCTAATATTGTACTTAAGGTTTCAACGGAGAATCTTTATTAAAGTGGAGTAAATGTTGATTCACAGAAAACCTAAACGACAAGATTGAGCAGCTGAAAGATCAAATTGCAATTCTCGGGGAAAGGTTGGAGAACTTGAGGACGCAAAGCGGAGAAAGCGAGGACAAAGGTCAGTTTACAAAATTTTAATAATAGAAAAAAATGCGTATTGCCATACTGCGATGACCGACGAAGATGGTTTGACGGAAACATGAACGTCCGGTAATAGATAAGACATTCTGTACTGGGCCTTTTAACTTGTAG